AGGCACAGGCTGAAGCTTGTCTTTGGATCCATACCTCGTCCCGTGATATGCCAATTTGGTTTAATCACTTGGTTTAACAAGCTTTTCTGAATGTATAACCACGCAGAAGCCTGTGATTGGCAGGATGTTCAACCCTACACAATGTATCTGATCTAAATTGTTAGAGCTTTCTGAGCTTATAGATTTGTCCCAAAGGTGTGTGTTTTTTACAATAAATGAATGAGTATTGAATACTCAAGGTATGGTCCAATAATACCCTGTTGTATAGTCCCAATGACAACTGGCTGAATCAGTTAAGAACTTTTAGTGGATTTTCCATTTTTTAAAAAAATGTTTTTAGTGTTTATTTATTTACTTTTGAGAGACAGAGAGGGAGCACAAGCAGGGGAGGGAGAGAGAGGGAGACACAGAATCAGGAACAGGCTCCAGGATCTGAGCTGTCAGCACAAAGCCTGACATGGGGTTTGAACCTGGGAACCATGAGATCATGACCCCAGCTGAAGTCAGACGCTTAACCAACTGAACCACCCAGCTGCCCCTCTTCCATTTTCTAAACTATGCCTCCCCCTTTAAAAATATGGTTCTTAGGGGTGCCTGGGTGGCTCAGTCAGTTAAGCATCTGACTTTGGCTCAGGTCATGATCTCACAGCTTACGGGTTCGAGCCCATCGGGCTCTGTGCTGGCAGCTCAGAGCCTGGAGCCTGCTTCAGATTCTGTGTCTCTGTCTCTCTGCCCCTTCCTGCTCACACTCTCTCTCTCTAAAAATATAAATAAACATTAAAAATTTGTTTAAATGATAAAAAAATTTAAACAAAATAAAAATATGGTTCTTAACATCTACCTTTTTCTGCAACTTCCTGACTCACACTTTGCTGCTTTTCAAAACTGGTGATATATCCATGAACATACTGGATAAAGAGAAGCAGACTCTCCAGGTTAATGTGAAAGCTGCGATGAATTTATAATCAGAGGACAAGAGTTGTTGTGTGATTCCCTTCTCATGCAACAGAAAACCAATTTACTTAATTGCCTGTGCTTAAGCGTAATGTCATCTTGTATGGCTTACTGTTTTATACTGATGGGAGAATATTAAGTTACTAATGGCGTAAGTCCATAAAAAAAATTCATAGGCCATGAACTAGCATGCTAGAAAAAGAACAGATTTGGCAGGCGGTAGAATTAATTTATGAAATGTCATGTTTTAGATACCTGACTCTTGTAAACAGATGATTTTATACCTGATGTAGGCCCTATCATTCAACTAAGAACAGGTAAATTACATTAAAACCGCAAATATTCTTAACTCCAAGCTCCTCTTACAGAAAGTAGTCATCTGGCTCAGTCTGAAGTGAGCACTTCCTCAAGAATGTTTGATGAATATTAAAATCAAATTACTTTGGGATTTTAGTCTCTTGTTATTTCTTTAGCATTAGTGAAAATAGAGGACACTCTATGCAATAAAACACCATCAACAGTTTAAAATCCAGGTAAATCACAAACACCGTTATCTACACTAGACAGCAAAGGTAACTAATGTTTCAAATCTAAGAACTAAGGTTAGGACAAGAGCTGAGTTAGAAAAGAAGCTTTTTCCAGAATTGATAATGGGACTTTATGAAGGTAACATTCTAGTCTTTTCTCTTTTCCTTTGCCTTCCCTCAGGGAAAGGACGAGCCCTAGGCATGGAAGAGAGTTGCCTGAGAATACTGGCATACGCCTTTTCTTACTGCGACAGAAGAAATTTGTGACTTTTTTTTTTAAAAAAAAAGGGTATTTAAAGTAATGGTGAAAGAAATGCTTGTAAGTTGTAGCCACTGGTGAAGTCCTCCCAGGCCTTGAATTGGTCAGAATAATTAGAGAGACCAGAACTTCTAAAATGGAATAAGCCAGGTAAGAGAAAATGGAAAAGGCAATGAAACTGCACATAACTGCGGCTGGTATCTAAACATCACCACTTTTTTATTTCTTGTAAGAAACCATCTGCAATGTTTACTAGGGCTGCTGTAACTAAGTGACACAAACTGGGCAGCTTTAAACAACAGAACTTTATTCCCTTTACAGTTCTTGAGGCCAAAAGTCTGAAGTCAAGCTCCCTTTCTAAAATCTCTAGGATAGGACCCTTCCTTGTCCCGTCTGAACTTCTGGAAGCTCTAGGCATTCCTTGGCCTATGGAAAGATAGCTTTAATTTCTGCCTGCATCTTCACATTGGCCCTTCCCCTCTGTGTCTGTGTCTTTTTTTTTTTTTTTTTTTCTAATTGTATTTATTTATTTTGAGAAAGACAGAGAGAGAGAGAGCGCGCAAGTGGGGGAGGGGTAGAGAGAGACACACATCGAATCTGAAACAGGCTCCAGGCTCTGAGCTGTCAGCACAGAGGCCCATGCCGGGCTTGAACTCACAAACCATGAGATCATGACTTGAGCTGAAGTCGGACACTTAACCGACTGAGTCACCCAAGAGCCCTGTGTCTGTGTCTTTACGTGGTGTTCTCCCTATGTTTGTGTCCAAACTTCCCTCTTAAATTTTGTTTTCATTGAGGTAGAGTTGACATACAATATAATATTAGTTTCAGGTGTACCACATAGTGATTCTCCAATTATATACATTACAAAATGCTCACAATAAGTGTAGTTAGCTTCTGTAACCATACAAAGTTATTATAATATTATTGACTCTATTCCCCTACACTGGATTTTTCATCCCCACGACTTACTTATTTTCTAATTTCAAGCTTGTACCTCTTTATCCCCTTCATCAAATCTTCTTCTTCTTATAAGGACATCAGTCATACTGGGCCCATATCAGGCCCATTCTACTCTGGTAGGACATCACTACAACTTAACTAAATGTATCTGCAACAGCCATAATTCAAATAAAGTCACCTTCTGAGGTACCGGTGTAAAGAAATATATTTTCTGCACCTCGTTTACTGTCAACTACCACACTCGTACTTAGAACACAGCACAACACTTCTGACATCGTGTGTGTGGGTTCTCCACACCAAGCAATCCTTGGACACAAGTTGATGCCTTATAATTCAGTTCTGAGGCTATCTGCCTGGAGTTGGCACTGGATCCCATGAGTTAAGAGCTGAGTCCCAGAGGACTGGCCACCATTTAGACACCAATCACAAGTCTCAGACAGTTACCTAATCTTCTGATCGACTAGCTGTAAATCGGGGTTCCCATGGCACTCTGCTTGGGTTCAATTATTTGCTAGTACAGCTCTCCAAACTCAGGGAAAGATTTATCTACATATATCTGTTTATTGTAAAGGATATATATGTAAGAAAGGGTGCAGATGAACAGCCAGATGAAGAGGTTCACAGGATGATGTTCAGGAGGGTCCTGAGTGCAGGATCTTCTGTCCCAGGGGATTTGAAGGGTGCCACCCTCCCGGCAGGTAGATGTGTTTACCAAGCCAGAAACTTACAAAACTCCACACTTTTGGGATTTTTGTAGAAGCTTTATCACAGTAGGCCTGATCAATTATGAACTCAATCTCTAGCTCCTCTTCCCTTGTCAGAGGACGAGTGATAGAGCTAAAACTTGCAAGCTTCTAATCATGGTTTTTCTGGTGACCAGGCTTCATCCTCAAGCTGTTCAGCAGTTCACAAAGAGTCACCTCATTAGAACAGAAAACTTCCTATCACCCATGAAATTCCAAGGGTTTTAGGAGCTCTGTGGCAGGAACTAGGGGCAGTAACCAATATATTTTATTATTTCACAATTAGACTTCAGGACTTAATCTTTTCTGGGGGCTGGCAAACAACTGAAGTCATAACATTACCCTTTTAAGTTGCACACGGTACTAATGTGTTGTTACACCTGTCTGTATGTGTATCTACATTTAATAAAAAATAAAATCTTTGTCAAAAAATACAGCTGAGTTGTCCATTGTGTCATTTTTTTTTAATTCAAAGGACAAAACTTGAACTCTACTATATACCATTGACGTCTTAGTCAAACAGAATGAAGCTATCCCTGAGTCAAAATGAAGAGGCCTCCAAGGGCAACTGGCCTTGTGATTCTGGATTCACAGACATATGCCCAGCTGGAGGGGAGGGGGAGGGTCTGCTCTTAGTTTGTGTGGCCCACCAAACACTGTGGTCACTTCTTTTTATTTTTTTAAAGTTTATTTATTTATTTTTTAGAGAGAGAGAGCAGGGCAGGTGCAGAGAGAGAGGGAGAGAGAAAATCCCAAGGAGGATGTCAGCACAGAGCCCGATGTAGGGCTCCAACTTGTGAACCGTGAGATCATGACCTTAGCCGAAATCAAGAGTCAGATGCTTAACCACCCGAGCCACCTAGGCACCCCAGCACTGAGTCACTTCTTAACAGTTCTCCTCAAAGTATCAGTTCTTCCTTGAAATCTGTAATTATTTCTGAGATAGAACCATCACAAATGAGGAGAAAGAGTGGAACGTAAGAAAAAATTTGTGTTTTGGGCACATACAGATTTAGGCTTGAATCTAGGTTCCATAGTGTCTAGCACAGTGACCCCAGGCAAGTTAATAAGCTTTTCAAATCCTTAGTGTGTGCATCTGTGAAATGAAAATCCTCACTGCTAATGCCCAGAGTGATTTCAAGGATCAACGTGGATAAAGCTCCTGGCTTGATACAAAGGAGGCACTGAGTAAATGTGACTTGGTTCAACTTCATAATATATATGGCAAGTTGAAAGTCAACACCTTATAAGAAAACTTTCTTCTTCCATAGGGTGCTAGTGACCAAATTTTCATGGTGATATGTATAATTAAGTATTTAATATAAATACAACAAATATCACTTTTAATTAAAATTATAATTCACAGGTAGAAGTCACTGTGTTTGCTTTCTGGTAACTACAATCATAAAATTAGATCACAACAGAACTGGGAATGAAGATTTACTCACAGTGCAAACATTCTCAAGCATCACATATGTGCCAGGTGTTCTTTTAGGGACGATGGGACACAGCCACAGGTGATAGAAACAGCAGGAAGGAAGTGGCACAACTTACCCCACCAACTTTCTCAAAGTGAGATCCATCTTTCTTAAAATCTGTGAGGGCTCCATTGAAATACCAGGTAAACATGATGTCTAGCAAGGGATCATGTTGCACTTGGCAGGGCAAAATGACACTTTCGCCAACAGAGACATCCATGTTGGATGGTGCCAAAGTTATTCTCGTTGGTTCTGTTAAGGGAACAATAAAGTTTTAAATAAAATTGTAGTGTTTTTATTTTGATGAAAGCATTTTCTTTTTTTAATTTTTTTTTTTTCCCAACGTTTATTTATTTTTAGGACAGAGAGAGACAGAGCATGAACGGGGGAGGGGCAGAGAGAGAGGGAGACACAGAATCGGAAACAGGCTCCAGGCTCCGAGCCATCAGCCCAGAGCCCAACGCGGGGCTTGAACTCACGGACCGCGAGATCGTGACCTGGCTGAAGTCGGACGCTCAACCGACTGCGCCACCCAGGCGCCCCTGATGAAAGCATTTTCACAAGCTGATTTCTAACCTAACATGTAGTGTGCATAATTGAAAGTCTTCAACATTAATATAGACATTTTTATGCAGATTTGTAATGTATTTCTTTGGATCTACAAATTCTTGTTAAAAGAATTAGGAAATTTGAATTTATAGGATACATCAGTTTAAAAATTAAAGTCACCTGTAAACAAGGTTCTAATACTACTACAAAATCAATTTTAACTTAGTTTTACTGCTTTGTGAAATATAGGGGTAGAAAGAGAAACCACTGAATTTTCACTAACTTTGAATGACTCAAATGCATTACTACCAAAATTTAAATACACTCAAACATTTGAAAGGCCACACAAAAGACATCCAGAACAGGTACTGTAAGAGGGATACTAAGTTAAAATGCTAATTAAATGCCTGTTTTTCCCTAAATGTCCACATGTGCATTTCTTTCTTCCTATCATTAACACAGCCCTTCCAGCTGTTCTGAATTAAACTTCTTTTGACCCCACTTTTCCATTGCTACTCATTTGTTGACTCCATATTGCAGCAAAAGTCCTCCAAAGAATCATTTATGTATACTGTCTACAATACCTCTAGTAAATTCTCTCTCTAATCCACTCTTGTTAGGCTGTGGCTTCCCGCAACTTATTTGCTTTTAAGGTTCCCAGGAATCACCCTGTTGCAAACCAGTGGCACATTTTCCAATTTCATGTACTTAATTGATGTTTCAGCAGTATTTGCTCCCTTTCATCACCGTCTTCCTGTCAGTTCACTTTCTTTGCTTGGTTTCTGGAACGTGAAACCCTCTTTGTTTTCTAGTACTGTGCTGGTCACTGCTTTGTGGTCCCTCTCCTTTTCCTACATCTGGTAATGTTAGATTGCCTCAAGCTCAATCCTTGGTCTTCTTCTTTTGTCTTCACTCACTCTTGGTGATTTTATCTAGACTTCTCTTTTCAAGTACTTATCTGTATGCGAACAACTCCCAAATGTGTGTTTCTATCCTCTATCTGATCTCTCCTTCGAATTCAGGCACAGCCAAATGCTAATGCTTTGGCTAAGGAAATGTAAGATGGAGCTATGTGTGGCACTGACAGGCAGAAGCCTGGAAAAAAGTAAGAGGCCATCTGAAACGTAGTCTTTCCTCTTCCACTGTGATGGGCGATGTGCAAGAGAATGGAGGCACCAGGACGCTTTATTCCTTAATGTAGACAGCATAGCTGACCCACCATGGACGGTGACATAAGCAAAAAGTATTAGCTTATGCTAATATTGTTGTTAATGGCAGAATACTGTGGTCTGCTTTCCACAAACAGAGCCTGGTGAACATTTCACATTTACCACATCCAAACCGAACTCCTGATCTGCCTCCTCCCCAAAGTGTGCAATCCTCAGCCTTTTCAATCTCAGTTGTTATGATGGTCATTCCTTCTGATATTTGCCAAACGCCCTGCAACCATCCTTGTCTCCTTTCTTTCTCTTGGGCCTCATTGGTCAGTAACTCCTGTTGACTCTGCAAGCCCAGTATTTGCAGAATCTGATTCTTTTCCATCAACTCCTCTGTTGTCACTTTCACTTGAGTCATTATTGCTTCCTGACTGGTTTGCAGCCATGGTCTTCTGAGATCTCTCCAACTTCTACTCTTGATTCCCCAGCTACATCAAAAGTTTAAAAATATATTTTACATCATGCCACTTTCTGCCGATTTGCACCAGCCTCTATTTTTCACTTCTACTAAAAGCCAAAGTCCTCACAAGGTCTACAAAGTTCTTCCACGATTTTCTCCCAAAGAATCTATTAGTTAACTCCTCTGTGTCGACAAAATCTCTGTCTAAATCTCTCTTTCTCACTGGGCGTACTCCAATCACCATCTTTCTGCTCCAGCTGACCTCTTCCACACACTACTCTGTATTTTCTCAATTGTTTGCATTTTTTTCCCTTGGATAATTCCCTCATTTTTTATTCTACTGTGTATTTTCTTTCTACCTCCGCTAGAAGGTAAAATTCATGAAGGCAGAATCTTTATCAGTTTATTTACCAACATAAGTCAAGCACCGGACACACAGCAGGTACTCATTTTTTTTTTTCTCAAATAAATAAACAACATATATGTGCAACTGTAAATGACTCTCATTGATGGTAAGGATTGTTTCATGGACCTCAAAAAATCCAGAAAATATCAATGATATTGTACAAGAGTACATTCAAAAGATCTGACATAACAGAATAGCATAAAATTAGGTCATCAGCATATGCTATTTGTAATTCTTTTGCCTATCGTACTTGCACATAACTGATATGTTCCCCGGTGCGTACTATGGTATGTAAAGAAATAATAAGAATTGTTCTCTTTACTTCCACCTGTTAAAAATAACAGTGCAAACACAGGTTCTATCTTCATAGTGCACTGCATAGTATAAATAATCTGGTTTTTTCTTTGCTCTTAATAACATACCATACAGCCCATCTCTACAGAAAGCAATCTTTGGGAAATGTACCTACCAGTAACAATCAAGCGCGTTGTGCCATTTGCTTTCCCAAACTGGTTTTCTGCTATGCAGGTATAAGTTCCAACGTCAGCTTTAGTCACATTGACTATTTGAAGTCCTCCATCTTTTAAAAAAGAAATTCTAAAGAAAATACAAATTAGACAAATAAGTGTATATTAGTCATTTTTCCCCAAATAGCAATTTTTATAAAAGTATTGCCTTAAGCTAGTATTTTTATTTATTTTTTATTTATTTTAATGTTTATTTTCAGAGAGACAGAGACAGCGCGAGTGGGAGAGGGGCAGAGAGAGAGGGAGACAGAGAACCCCAAGCAGGCTCTGCACTGCGGTCAGAGCCCAAGGCTGGGTTCGAACCAACGAAACTGCGAGATCATGACCTGGGCCAAAACCAAGAGTCGGATGCTTAACCGACTGAGCCACCCAGGCGCCCCTTAAGCTAGTATTTTTAAGTCCAGTCCTTAGCCTTCTTGGAAATAAAGAAAAGTTATACACATACACACATGTGCACACACATGCACAAAGAGCTGAGTAAGAAAAGATGCTCTACCAATTGGAAATTTTCTTGATATTTTTTATGCAGCCCTACTTAGCAGCATTACTTAACATTTCACTTACTTTCAGGGATGCCTTTATCAAATAAGTGTGAAATGTTTTCTAAAAATATATGGTGTGGTAGATTGCTCATGATGGGTTAGCCTTGTAAGTTTGTAGAAAATAGAAAATAGAGAGGACACTAACTCGTTTAACTTTAAAACAGTTCATGAGAAAGGAGAAACTCTCTTTCCTTTACATAATGAACTTGGGAGAGTCACATTTGACTCCATATAAACTCAAATTTTACAAAATCACACGTTCATGGTCACCTGTGAGCTACTGCAAAGAATCTGGGCAATACAAATGAACATTACATTAGAGTTTCTGAGCATATGCTTAAGATACTTAAGGCTTTTGCATCTAACTAATTCATTAAGGAAATACAAATGAGTGCCTTACACGTGCTAGGCATTATGAGACTCTCTGGGATTATAGTGTGAGCAAGAAAGAAAGTCTCCACCTTCACGGAAATAAGTCTAATGAGCAGCTTAGACAATAAATAAGTAAGTGAGAGAAGTTCAGATATTTGGGAAATACTCTGAAGGAGACAAACAGGATGACACAATAAAGAGTCAGAGCTATAAAGAATGTTCCCTTGATAGGGTGCTTCAGAAATGCCTCTGACAAGAGGTATCATTTGGAATAAGAATAAAGAATGAGAAAGGGTCTATCCGTCATTAGTCAGATCCATGAATCTTTACTGCCTATCTTGTCGACCTATAATTATTTTCCTTTCTTTGAATTCCTAAAATCTTCACTACCCATATCATTCATTTAACACTTAGGATGCCTTTTATCTTGTATGGTTCATATCTTTGGTATCTGAGTGTCATATCAATCTAAAGAGAGGGTAAATTTCTTTTTTTTTTTTTTTTTTTTTTTTTTTTTTTTTTTTTTTTTTTTTTTTATTTTTTTAAAATTTTTTTTTTTTTCAACGTTTATTTATTTTTGGGACAGAGAGAGACAGAGCATGAACGGGGGAGGGGCAGAGAGAGAGGGAGACACAGAATCGGAAACAGGCTCCAGGCTCTGAGCCATCAGCCCAGAGCCCGACGCGGGGCTCGAACTCACGGAGTGCGAGATCGTGACCTGGCTGAAGTCGGACGCTTAACCGACTGCGCCACCCAGGCGCCCCGAGAGGGTAAATTTCTTAAAAAGGTTTCCAACCCCAAGTCAGCATGACATGATATAGTAAACCATGGTCAATAAGTGTTTGCAACCTTTAGGCTATACAGTAGATACAAAAGGACGCTGAGGACCTCAGACTATGATGGGATGATCTCAACTCAATTTCTGGATATTATCCTGTTTGAGAGAAGATATTGAGGCAAGTGTCAGAAGTGTGGATAGTCCGAGTTTATGTATCAAAAATATACAAGATATATCTTTTACATTACATAGGACTATTTTTCATGTCTTTTATATTACATATACATGTACATTCCTTTGATGGCCTGTCATTCACATTCACTCAAATCCTAGTTCCATTTTCTTGAGTGAGAAAGTGGTGGAATCAGAGGCAGCACACACAGACCTGCTCATGATTCTAGGCAGAGTATCCATGAATGTTTGTTGTTCAGGTGATTTGTTGTTTGTTTGTATGTCAAGAAATGTTTGAAACAAAAGGGTTTGAGAACAATGCCCTAGAAAGCTAATCAGGGAACACAGAACATTGTATTTTAATTTGAGGAGCAAAGCAGAAAGGTTAAAAATGCCAAGAACTTTCCTAGGTAGCTGGGACAAAGGTGCTTTATCTGATTTCCTTCATGGAACCCTCACCACTTTACTGGGTATGAAATGCAGGCTGATCACTTTTCTCAAAGAGATGATCGAAGAAAAATCACTTTATACCTTAGCATATCAGAGAACAAAGATTTTCTTAGACAGTGTGCAATAATAATTGAAAGAGGAGACTCTGCAGAGGGGCACAAGCAAATAAAGCACTTAGGATATGGAGAATGTTTTCATAAACATAGGGAGTAAATGGAAACAAATGTGAATCTGATCATGTAATTCTGCTATAACCCTCATCCCTGGCTTAGACCGCTTCTCTGGCATTACACTGCCCATAGGAGAAAAATTACACCCTGAGCCCAATACCTATTTTTCATTGGGACCCCACCTCTAACTTTGGAAGGCCTTGTGAATTCTACCCCTTGTTTGCTTTTCTCCAGTCACAAATACCTTCTTTTAAATGCTTTTATGCTTCTTATTATCTTGGGACCTTTATGCACACTATTTCCTATGTGTAGTTAATGTGTACTTATCCTTCAGATTTTGGCCACTTTCCTGAACATTGGGTCAGATTAGGTGTTCCTGTAAATGATGATAGATCTCCTGTGCCTTTTTTACAGCATCTGACAACTGGCCAATTACATATTTGTGTGCGTCCTTGACTAATTTCTTCCCCTAGTAAGCTCAGAAACTGTAAGCTCTCTGGAGGTAGGAAGAGTGTCTAGACAGTGTCTGAGTTACTCACTGTTAAACTCCTAGAGCCTCGAACCATTTATGCCATGGACTAAACGTTCAAAATTAATACCTGTTGAATGAACAAATGACTGTGCGTTTAGAGAGTCACTACAGAAGAACTTGGATTAGTGAAGGCAGGTTGCAGAGCAGTGAAGACGTTGTAAATTTCAAGGAAACAAATTCAGAAAGTGTTTCAACTATTACACACATACACATATATTATACACATATATATGTGTGTATACACGCACACACACACACATATATGCACATGTATATGCATACAGTTTACCCTTGAACAACATGGGTTTCAACTGTGTGGATCTATTTATTTGCAGATTTTTTTCAATACAGTATAGTACTGTAAATGTATTTTCTCTTCCTTATGATTTTGTTTTTAATTTTGGAGAGAGAGAAAGCATGATTGGGGGAGAGAAGCAGAGGGAGAGAGAGAGAGACAGAGAATCTCAAGCAGGCCCCACACTTGGAACAGAGCCCAGTGCAGAAGTTGATCCCATGACCCTGGGATCATGATCTGAGCTAAAATCAAGAGTCGGATTCTCAACTGACTAAGTGACCCAGATACCCCTCTTCCTTACAATTTTCATAATAATACTTTCTTTTCTATAGCTTACTTTATTATAATACAGTAAATAATACATATAATATATAAAATATGTGTTGTGTAAGTTATTGGTAAAAGTTATTAAGACAATAGCAGGCTCTTAGTTATGTTTTTGGGGAATCCAAAGTTACACTGGATTTTCCACTTTGCATGGGGTTGGTGCCCTTAACTCCCAAGTTGTTCAAGGGCCAACTGTGTAAATATATAAGCAAAACAGAGAAAGATGAGACAATAGAAGGCAGGATGAGAGAATTTAGAAATTCATAGGATAAGAGGACTACAAATGTACTTTTACTATGAAGGAAGAAATTAATCAAGAGGGAGGGATGAAAGTAAAGTGGGGGAGAAAGGGAAGGAGGAAGGAAAAGAAAGACAGTGAGACTCAAGTACTTGAGAAAAGTCTCAGACTGAGTACAAACAAGTGCAATGCTCCCGATCCACGATGATTGCTAATCCTATGTGTAAAACTTTTTGGCCATGACCCTCAAAGAGAATAGGATGTGACCTAGAGCACTGCTCAATAAATTTTACCTACCGTTGCTATCAAAAAAAAATTTTTCCAGCTTTGCTGGAGATGTTAATATGTAAAGACAGCAAGCTAGAAGATGATATCAGAAGGTCTTAAAGACATTTAAATAGTGGGGCAACTTCATCTGCCCTGAGTTAGAGGGTGGAGGTAGAACTGGAAGCTCCAGGAAGCTGGGCAATTGACCACTTCCAAGATTAGCAAGCATGAAACCAAAGTAAAAAAGGTCTCTGGTTGACTGAACAAATACCCAGCTTCAGCTTCGACCTTCTGATTTGGGTATCACACAATGGAGACAAGCCATTTCAGTACCTTCACATGCTATGAATTAGTGTAACAGCTAAACTTCCAATACAATATAGAACCATTAGGGATATTGGAAGAATCCCAAAACCTGTAGTGTGTAAGTTTTAATAGCTGTAAATGAACAATCCTATCCTCGTGACTATGCTGAGATGAGGAGCCATTTCAAAAGCAAGGCTAACAACTCAGGAATCACATGGACTCCAAAACAAACATATTGACTCTCAAAGAATGCAAACTCTGTACATTGTAAAATTTTGAGCTAATTGGGTATTTTCTTCCTAAATTGGTTCTTCCAGTAAGATCCAAGAGGCCCACAGGGCATCTCACACAACATAAAAATAAACAATATTCAGTAAATGGATGGAGTAATTGTTTCTCAAAAGAAAACCTTCAATAACCCAAGCTTCCCTACAGAGATCCAAAGTGAAAATTTTATACCACTTCAGTATAAATGAAATTGCTTTCTAAGCTTTCTGGGAGCATGTTTTGCTGCAAACGGATAGAGCTGAAAATGTAGATAACAATGAGTAACTCTAAGTCTTGGCACAAAAAGTTAAACAGAGATTTATGAGATTAACATTAAGAAATGGGGTACTCCAGT